GGGGGGGTGCAAGGCCGAAGTTCGCATAGGGCGCCAAGCGACCTTGAACGAGCCCTATTAGATGTCACACTGCCTTTTGGTTTCAGATTAGAGCACTTTAATAAGATTTGAATAGACGCTCGGGCATGCGCTCTGAACATTTGTAAGATCTTAATGAATTCATGTTTTATTACGCAGACTGTCTGTACCAACTCTGATGTCAAATGTCATCAGCATCCGCGGTCTATCTGAAGCAAAACACTGTTCGCTCTTCTTTGAGCTATTGTACTTTTAGATTAGTTTGCTGAATTACGACTCCGCGAAATTGTTCGCTGTTGACACTAGCAAATTCGTTGCCGTGGTAACCCGCCCACAAACCAAAACCTACGTATAGCTTTTATATTAAGGTAGTTATATGACGCACAAGGCCGGATGGTGCAACGCGTCTGATGGAAACATTTAAAGGGACAATGAGCCGGACTTGTCTGTTCTTCGCACTGCAGTAGGTTGAGGGTGATTCATCATTTTTATATATTTTTATATATTTTTTATATATCTCCTGCCACAACTCAGATTTTCTGGATGTCAGGAAGGCGGCGGTCAATAACACGAGCTCAAGTACTGGAGGAGATGCAAGGCTTCCCCTTTTGATTCAGGCTTACGTCCTTTTCATTCGACCCTCTTCGTACAGATTTTCTATACAATTTCTCCGTGTAATATGAGATAGAATCTTGCTGGTGAGTTTTTATATCACCATTGCTGGAAGACGCTATGAATAAAGAGATGTGGGCAGAAGAGCTTAGGATGGAAGCCGCGGTGTGATGGGTGATTGAAGGTGTCTGCTGTAATATTCTGCATTATGACCGCAAAAATTAAACACCTTTAAATTTGAGCTTCAGAGAAAGAGTTGAAATGAAATGGGAGTGAAATAGTATAAATAGTAACGAAGAGAGGAAAAGTTAAATATACTTACATTAAGTAAACAGAGAGAAAATAAAATACAGATATAGAGACTGAGAGATGAAATATGTTAATAAAAACGAAGCAAATGAAAATCTTCCTTGTATTTCGTTGCATACTCAAGACATTAAAAATTAAAGGTTTGGATGTTAATTAGATCTGTAGATTACGTAATGTGTCACATTTTTTACGATTACCATGTGTTATTTAGGTATAAAGTAAAATTCGGATGCGTATGAAAAATTCGCTAACATAATACTGTAGACTATACGAAGGATGAAAAATATAGACGAGCAGAAACGACAGTCACATTATGACTTAAATTTATAACTATTTTGGGGAAGTGTATTATACAGACGTGTATTAATATAAATGTACATCAGAGGCAAATGTCAGAGATAAACGATGTCATAAACAAATTCAACGGCGAAACATCTGTTGCCGGCTGTCTGAGCGGAGAATTGACTCTGCCTTCAAACAGACGTTCCAACGAGGGGCATAATCTCCATCAGTTTTGTAACTTTCTAGTGACTTGTCTCTGTCTTGTATTCCAGATGTTTTACAGTTTATGTAGAATTCAGTATTTTAGTCGGGGTCACTGGTACCAAATATCGTGCAGACTGCTCCAAAAATGGAAATGTTTTTGGACAGTATTCAGCATGACGTCACACCTTCAAGGTCAAGTCAATTCTCCGTTCAGACGGACAGTAGTAGCAGTTGCGTTACTCATCTGCGTCCTGATGGTACACCGTTTGTGACCCAATTATTATCGGAAAGGGGGGGGGAGGGACTTTGGAGCACAACTCTGCTTAAAACGATTATTTTGGGACATACGAGCACTTGGATTTTTAATTGTGGGAAAGAACTTTTCGATTTGCTTTTGTAATGAAATGCTTAATTTCTGAAGTTTACCACGTAATCCCTAGCGAGTTTCGATTAGTCTGCGGAAACCATTCTCATAATCGTTGATGCCGGAGTGACTGGTGTAGCGGTAACGGTGTGCTCTGTCCTGCAGAGTCCCTGTTCGAATCTCGGCCGTGTTATGGGTTTTCAGACTTAACAGTTTCAGCTCTTACCCACCAGTATCTCAACGTGAATGTCGGCACTATATCAAATAGGCCACGACCACTTTTTAAAATGTGTATTAACCGCATTTAGTGGCCATATCTGGTTCTCATTCTACGCTGCACACCACCTACAGTGCTTTATATGCGTGAGATCATGAATTCTAATCTTTGCCGAGCATTTATGTCCTTTCCATTAGTTTTGCCTTAACCATGCATTTGTTTGGAGTTCTTTAAAATTGGTCAATTTCGTCATCTTTTAGATTCTGTCAACGCTGTGCTTTATCCATCGACCACAAACAGCAATTATCTTTGTAAGAGCCGCGAGGGTAACTTAAACGCAATTAACGATCCTCTAGAGTTAAGACCGTGTACTTAAGTGACCTAACAATTAATTACGCTACGCAACAGAACCGCTACGGTGGTCTAGCGGTCAGAACACTAGCCTTGTAAGCCTCGGGTCCCGGGTTCAATTCCCGGTGGTGCTCAAATTTATAACTTCTGTTGGGCAAGGCCGTGGTCTAGGCATCACGGATTTTTCCTCCGGGGGCTTCCCCGGTTTCTCCGTGGCATCCCAACAATTACTCCATTCACACACAGAAGAAGGCAATGGCAAACCACTTCTGGATCATCTGCCAAGAACGTATATGAACAGGTCCCAGTCCGAGAAAAGGATGGAAGGATCCTGTTCATATGGACCTGTCGTCAGACAGAACACTACAAATAAACAAAAACGCAACAGACGGACAATCGTCACAGTTTCTTCGTTTGAAGACAGAACCGTATTAAGACCAAGGCTTCCAGCATAAAGAGATGAATTTTTAGAGCTGGCGAAAATAGGAAAGTATGGAACGACAGAGGGTGGGTAGGGGAGAGGAGAAAGGGAGTTATCCAGGAAGTTGGGGTGGCGCTGTTTCACCCCAGTGTACAAGGTTATAATAAGGCATCAGGCACAACATGGCCCCCTGGTACACAGAATCTTGATTTATAGCAAATCAATATCTTGACTGAATACAGCCATGGCATGGTCTCGCTGCTGACAGGGTACAGCAAAGTGCAATTCCGGGAGCTAATTATGAAGTGGATATTATGGGCTGCTCTCGACAAGACGTCGCTGTGGTGAAGACCTGTCACCACGCGGTCCCTCATGGTCGTAGAACTGAAAACATCAAAGTCATTTATTGGCTAGATTGGTTACGCGAAGTACTGATTGGTGTAAATTATCTCTCAGAATGTCACACTCTGCGTGTTACCATAATTATACCTGCGGATGTGGCAAATTGAATTATGATGTTGAACACTTGGATGACATCGCCATGGCAGACTACAAACGCAATAAATGTACGAAGGCAGAGCCTAACGTCGCGTCGCTGTGTGTGGACGTCATGTTCGGGTGAGTTCGGTTCTACAAAACATTTCCACGGTTTTATGTCTCGATAAAGGAAGAGACTGATTTGAAAGAATAATATCAGCTACAAGATTTTCAAACATAAACACCCAGGAAGATATTTTTGTACGTGAGAGCAATGCAACAAGGGATGTTACATAACAGATTACTTTGTTATTAATGAACGTACAAGTCACTTAGTGATGTTAAGAGACAGTGAAACAAAGGGGGATGTGTCGTAGAAGTGAACAACGCACGGGTTCGTGGAGAAACCTCCACGACTAACTGAAGTCAACTACGAAAATCTTCATTTGTAGGATCGAGAACGTAGCCCAGAGTCGCCCGAATAAAGGGCACTGAACTGTAACGCTCGGATGATAGTGCCCCTCTAATAGACCAACGTTTGAAAAGAATCGCCAAGCCGTACAGTGCATCCTGACAGACAGTCGGTGGCAAAACCGAACTTTAAAGACTGAAAATGGCGACTTTGCCTCTCAAAAAAATGATTATACTTTTACCATACCAGAGACAATTCAATACGTTGTTGGTATATAAATTAGCGGATTCAGATTTTTTGTTTTAATATCTTAACTGCTGATTGTATGAAACAAAATGTTGTCACTTCTATTAATACATTTTCATTTTAATACCGTATTGATTTTATTTATAATATTAATGAACCGTGCATATTTTATATATATATTTGTTATTATAATACAGTGTAAGCTTCGTGGCCTAAAAACTGGCTATATATATATATACTGAAATTTTAATCATTATTTTAATATTTCAACAATTTGGTATTTTGCATCTCCGACATCAGTGGACTCTACATATTTTCATACACAATTATTTATATTACTACTAACAATAATTTCACAAGCCAAAATGTTTATTTAGATGCATAGAGCTACAAATAGGTCGTCGTATAACATACATGTGGATTTTCTCTACATATCCACGTATTCGCATAACGTTTGTTGCAAGGGTTGAAACATATAGTGGAGTTTTGTGTAACATGTTTGTGATATGCTGACAGCCTTTCTGTTTCAAATATCTAAACCGCGTTTTGTAGTTGTCTGAGAAAATCTAAAATTTTGGACATTGAGTTCGTTTGTTTTGATTTTTGACGTTCTGGACTGTACTGAACTTTCCGATCGTGTGTGACTCCCTACAGCCTTGTACTTGGCCACCAAGGTCTCTGAGAAACGTTTACATAGCAGCCTTGTACTTGGCTACCAAGGTCTCTGAGAAACGTTTACATATAAAATGATGTCCTCGTTTAAATTTTAAAGATGGTAGGATAATGTCTTAGAGATAGATAAGATTTAAGTGCCGCTTTCAACTTCATTTCTCTTGGACGCAATAAACCCACGTTGAACCCCCCACCTACCCATAGACTTCATAAGCGTCCGTACCATCCCCTCCCCGAATTTTTTGTTCTCTCCAAATTCTGATGAAGAGGCAACCGCTTTCAGAATGCTGACAACGCAGAGTCCATGTCTGTAGGCGATCTTTAATGTGACGCTAGGATGTCCAGGGGAATTTATTACAGGGAAAGAACAAGGCATTGCCAAATTTTCTATCCTCTTTTTAAAGTTTGTATCAGTAAATGTGAAGATAGAATATTTCAGAATGAAAGTCTACGTCTATATTTCTAAGTTAACCTAGGATAGTAGGCTGTATGAAACAAGTGGTAGCTATATATATACTAATTAATTAATTAATTAATGCCTTAATTAATGCCTTTTTGTTTCTTTAATCACAGAATATATTTTTTCCTTCTGTTAGAATACAGGAATGTATTTTTTGAAATGTTGTTAATATGTGGTATGTTACGTAGGATTCTAACTTTCAGACGTTACGTGCACAAAGAATGAGACGCCGCTCTATCGGGAGCCCCTTGAAACATTGGAGAGAAATTTAGAAACCGGAACAAGCTGTCTTAATCCTCGAAAGAAAAAGAATAAACTTGTTTCGGTTAACTGCCACCACCGATTTAACGCCCTTTTTAATGGCGGACAAAATGTTGTGCTTTAACGAGCTTGTATCTTGAATCAGGTGTTTGGTGTCTTGCGGTGCGTGGACTAGTGACTAATTTAGTGGGACGTTTTGTTAACAAATTTTTGGCTGAAAGAGGTTTTTTTCTCTAAAGCCTGCAACCATGTTTGTCTTTTTCCATGATTTCCATCCTCTTCTCTTCTCCGCCATCTTGTCCCTGCTGTTTTGACGTGTCTGTTACTGGGTCCGGCGACTTACTGTCGAAAAGAATGTCCGAAGGGACACACAAGTGCTTTGACAAAGTTCCACATTCGTTACCGGCAAGGAACTTCACGGCGGGCAGACAGAGAGACCCAGTGCATGAGAACCGCTTTGAGGTCTTTGAAACTGAAGACAAGTAACTCAATGAGACAGAAACTCTATTAGCATTTAGTCATGATAATTCATATCCTCACAGCCCCACATACCACAGCTCCGTCTAACTGTGCAAATTAGACCCACGTCACAGCCGGATTTCCATGATGTGGCAGTGTTCTCCGTCCAACCAGTCTTTTCTATCTGTCTGCCGAGCTATCTCATCACTACGTCGTCCTGTCCATCTCAATACGCGCTGACTCGTGCACCGTGCACCCAAATGTCTGTCTGTTCATACGCCATACTTTTCTACTGCATTTGCACTGATGTGCCCCGAAACTTGTTAAAGTTAAACGTAGATTACTACAAACTCTCAGCGTGAATCCGTCTGTTAAGCCTACGAATATCAAGTGATTCTGACAATCTTTTGTCGGAAGATAAATAAGTACTGAAAATTCTTAATACCCACTCGGCAAAAATGTAGTCGACTGTCTCTGTTAGATGCAAGGTATGTTGGTAGGGACGGAGTTTATTTGAAACACCTTGCTCCAGTGTCATTAATGACGAAACTCGTGATTGCACCTTCCATAAACACCATCCTCGATGTGGAATGACTTAAAACTCTCTTTTCCAATCAGATTTAACCAGAGACACGAAACCCGAGAAGCCTGGATGCCTGACAATCAGTCAAGCAAGAGACATCGCTCTATGGACACGCTAATGGGAAATTCGATTCCCATCTTCTTAACTCTGAGGTATTCCGAAATAATGTAGCTATAGACTGCCTTCCCTAATCGATATATTCAAGACTATCGACAGTGCCCTAACCCAGCCATTTCTTGTCATCTCTTTCATGATTTTTATGCGTATGAGAATGGAAGTTTGGCTCCTTGGCGTTCCGTGATGTTGAAACTACATTCGCTTGATATAATTTGACGTGTTTGTTAAAGTAAAGAGGTCCAGATTAATTTCAAGAACTGTACAGTTTTATTCGAAAAGCGTTACTGTACGAAAAAAAAAAGGATTTGAACACCGAATTTGCCCGAATATATTCAGCTACCGAACGAAGTTCTCATCTAGACTTTGAAAGGTTAATAAAAATATATAGTAGACGTATAAAATTAATTAATTAATTAGTTTGTGTGTACAGTGATAACTATCCATGTATAAAGAGTTTAAAAAATATATTACCTTTACACATTTTTACTACGTGCCAGTTTTAAAACGGAATTCAATGCAAAATTATCATTCATGCGCAGAAGTAAATCGATCATTTCAGTACATGTCCGCATTTTCTGTGACAGTTGAGACATGTTCGAAGCAACTGGTGTAAGCAGCGGCCTAGCAACGAGAATGACCTTGAATTGAATATTTTTTTAAATGGGAGTGGACCTATTTTTGATTTCATTTTGTACCGAAGAACGTGACATTTGTTCGGTTGCATTTTAAATGGTACACTCTTTGCAAAGAAGTTACTTCTTACAAGTGCGTAGATACTTTCATGATTAATTTCAGTATGAAAGTTCGTTGTTCAAGCTGCAGTAGTTCATCAGTAGTTGTTATCAGACAGGAAGATATAAATATATTTCCGACTGTCTTCGTGTTTTGTGACCTCAGGATGACATGCGTATTGTTCGAAATTCTACTGCCATACGCAGTTCTAGGATTTTAGATTAATGGTCAGAATTTTACAGGGTGATAAGAGGGGATTAAAGTTTGGGGTCGGTGTTGAATCAGTTGTAAGCATTTTTGAAAATTCTGCAGTTCATTAAATAAACTTTACGAGGGACCGGATGGACATGAACATTTGCTTGGGAAGAAATATGTGTCCTTTAGATAACCTTCAGGCCTTCGGAGTGTCATCGGTATCCACGGGCTGTGATCCTGGGATGAAAATTTAAGTCGACTAGGGTGTCGATACGAAGAAACGAATCCTTTCCCGGTGGCTGGTCCGTGACCATCATGTTCCTGAGTTATCTCTGTGTTTAATGAAACCAATCAGGAAAGGCTGTGCACTGCTTCGAGTCTCTCTCCTTCGCCTGTTTCCACGTAGTGCACTGCACTTCAGTCTCGAGTGAAGTGCCTTTGATCTTCGGAGAGGCGAAGGTCTGAGGGAGCACTTCTCAAACCTGTGTACCCCCAACTATTGGGAATATCGGCTTCTTCAACGGCAAATATGTTGATATTGATTTTCTGTGGACTTTCTTCAGACACCGTAGTTAATTTTCTTAGCGCCTTTCTGTTTTTCTTTGTGTGTGTGTCTGTAGACTGTTACCTCCTTTCCGTAAGTTTTTAAAATTCTGTTTCTAATTTATTTCGAGCGTCAGGTTGATTTGAACGACATACATAACTTTTCATGTTTTTTGCAAATACATGTCTATCGCGTTAGGATAATGAAATGAAAGGAAATGCGATTGGCGTAATCTGTAGCACGCATGTGGTAGTCTGTACGCTCATTTACAATTGTGGTTCAAAGACCCCAGAGGTACCGTCCATATACATTATAATAATCTGTGTATTTTCAAACTGGATATATTATTTTAATTTTAAATGTTAAAGTTTAATTAAGTATAAGAGTATTTTGTTGTAAAATAATTATTGGCATGTAATAATTATTATTCTTTACGAAGTTGCTCGGAAATTCCTCCAGTGAACCTTTCTTATATATAGAATGTTCAGTTTCCCTCTGTCCGTGTATTTGGTATTAGATGCCACCCTGTTTTCTGAGTTAGTGATTTTTCAGTGATCTCAGCGGCCCCAAAGTTTGCTGTAGGCCTCGACACGTTATCACAGTCTCAGCACCTGAACTTGGACTAAATAACTTATCTTCGTTATCCCGTTCAGTGTGTCCGTTTAGAATATGGCGCGTTAAGTCTTAATCGGGCTAGTCGAAACGTCGGCCGTTTAAAATATTAATTAATTCTTAACTTTAATGTTAAGTGGTCCATTGAAATATTTACAGATTCTGGCCATGTCTAATTTGTTAGATATATCCCCAGTTTCTCACCATATTTGTTAACAAAAAATGCTGTAAGTTATAATAGTTGCTTGTTTCTCTAACATCTTTTACCTTACAATGTGTTTAGTGTTTAATGTCGCAAGTCTTAAGTGCAGTTAAACACAATGTCAGCCTTGTATTTAGTCTGGAAAACAAATGAATGATCCCCGATAGTCCACTTTGATGAACGCCTTGCGTGTGGGATGTTCGACACCTCAATTACCCTTCTCATCATCTTAATCCAATCTCATTTCGGAGGTTAAGATACGGGTTTGCCGATCAGAGGCCTGCCTCCGAAACCACTTATTCTTTATCTCGGTAAAAGGAATTCTACTAGACGCCAGTTATTTTAAGTACGCTCTATGCGTTTAATGTCATTTGTCTCCCGCATACAGTTGGCAGAATTTGACGGTCTTGGAAGTAATAAATGGTAAAAGATAAGCTTCATTCGGTCTGATTACCACACCATTAAGGCGTGCAGGGGAAGACGGTACTCCTGGTTAATAAAGGGAGAATAATGTTCAGCTTCAAGCTCCGGCTGTTTTACCCCCTGCAGAATAGGGCAGGAAACATTGTGGATAGCAAAGTCTGTCTGTCTGTCCGTGGTGGCGGGAGTAAAAGTTGTTGCTCCTGGCTGAATTAAAAAGCCAGGGATCGGCTACACACAACAGCGTGGATTAGACATTTTTAGTATGAAACTTTACATTGTGAAAAAGGTACTGCAGTCTGAATAAATAGCAACAAATACAAGATAAGTTGGTAAATAAGACTTGGGTTGAAATGGAAGATTTGGGGTGATTGGTAGACGCACGTTACTTCAACCTGTGTACACTCAAAATGGGATAGTCTAGTGAGGCTGACTCAGATTAATTTCGGTGTATTTCTTCGCAATCAGCAAGAGTTTATGATATTATTTATGAATTTGTTTGTCATTACTGGAATTTATTTAAATTTTTGTCATTCACAAAGTTTGTTAAATGCGAGTAATTTCTCTGTTGTCAAGCAAATTTTGAAGTTCAAAATACAACTTCCAAATTGAGATACACGAAATCTGTTATTGACAACGGGTGGTAGGCGATGTACCCACGTCTTGTAACATTGCCTTTCCAAGATCGTATTGCTGCAGAGGGAATAAGTATGCGTATAGAGATAAAGAAGAAGGCAAAGAAGTGATGCATCTGAAGTCAGCCTCCCCCCTATAGACCTCGCTTTCGAACACAGCCGTAAATATAAATTCCTTTAACTGAAATCCTCCATTCTCCCATCACTTCTTACAATTATTGGAAAATTTCTTTGCTACGAACATATAATCTTTTCTCACATCGATATTATTGTCCCCCTTTTTATCACTTATTCTTGCATCGAGTTTGTTCATCGCCTTTGCATTCTAAATTGTACGATGCATTATACTAGACTTTCAGCCGAATCTCGTCTGGAGGATGTATTTAATGTACCTTACACCAACGAAATTGAGAGGGAATTTTGTAAACGAATGGAAGCCACAGAACAAATATTAAAGTAAATACTTTTGTGTATGAAATTGAAGGCTGAGTGTACGTGGTATTACACGAACAAGACCACGCGTTCTTAAAAGAAACAAGTCTCTGTTGATGATTTTTAAAACTGAAGGAATGGAATTGTTAAGCCGGGAATCGAATCCTGGGGTCTCGGGTTCGAATTTATAACTTGTGTTTGGCAAGGCCGTGGTCTAGGCAACACGGTTTTCCTCCGTGGCATCCCAACAATTACTCCATTCACACACAGAAGAAGGCAATGGCAAACCACTTCTGGATCATCTGCCAAGAACGTATATGAACAGGTCCCAATCCGAGAAAAGGATGGAAGGATCCTGTTCATATGGACCTGTCATCAGACAGAACACTAAAAAAAAACCCCTTACATTACATTCAGCTACCACAGACCCAATTTAAGAGTAATTAATTGAAGTTGAATAAGGAATGTCTTAATCAAACTTACCTCAATTGTAAAGCATGTATAAAGGAAATATTTAGAATAAAGCCAATATATAAACTTCCTTTCCGTATAGACGTATTTACGTCAAATTCTCCGGAACCGTGGTTCCACTGGCAACTTTTTCGCCCCTGAATTATACGTAGCATAAATTAAGAATGTGTGGACCTAAACGTCCTGTCGAAAGATTTGTCAGACGAAGTCTGAAGGATGTTGATGATTGTCCATTATGCTGCTAATATAAACCTGTCTTAGAAGGAAATATAGTTATAGTTTATTCAACATATAAAAATAAACATGGAGACCATGCGAAATCTCTTAATTAGCTTTAATTTTGATGGCATTATATAGAGATATGCATGTGAAATTTTGAATGACGACAGATGATAATCCTGAGTGAAAATTTGTATATATAGTAGCTTTTACAAACAGGTCGACATAAAAACTGAAGTTCTTAAAAATTAGCAGAATATATAATGTAAAAAAGGCACATTTATTTCCAGGTTTCTTCATTTCGATCGAAGAATTTGAGGGAAATTAGGTGTTGCGTGGTCTTTCCAGATGTACTTTCTAAATCTGACGCAAACAGACTTTATGACATCGGACGAATGCCCGTTCGAGCGACGTCATTAGCGATTCATTACGACAGACGTCGGTGCAGAATTATAATAATGCAGAGAAAGTGTTTGTCCGACCGACCGCCATCGGCCTGCCTCTTATCTTGATTGCTTCGTGGAATCTAATTGAAGGAAGACGGAGGGTGTGAGGCAACAGTTTGCCGCTCGTTAAAATTCAGGGCGCAGCTTCGCCTGGATGTGGTGGTCGAGGGCCCTAGGGATTTTTAGTTGAATATAGAACCCCCGGTCGGTACCCTTCCCGAATATCGAATGCTGTGGCTCACCCATCAGATATTTGATCCTGAATATTTCAAGGGAATAAAATTTTTGTGTTGGATTCCGGCCTATGGGCTGTCGTTCTAATGAAAAGATTCTCTCATTTGTCGTCTTCACTTAACAAAGTTAGGATGACTTATCAAGGTGTGTGGAGACTTAGAAACTTTTTGTGTCGAAAGTCTTAGAGGGCGGAAACGAGGTGGACTGGGCACGAATGGGAGAATGTTAGCGTTTATTTTAGGGAAATATATTGTGAAGGTTTAGATTGGAATAAACCGCCCTTTGTGAGTACAGAAGTGGACCTTGAGGTTTCTAAAATGGGGGAATTTTTAGACCACAAGTTTGCAGGTTGACATCTTCACTTAACTAAGTAACTGACTGGTAATATAAATAGAACGTTTAAGAGCGCTAGTATCACTGGACAAGATTCCGAGCTAAGTGTAAGTAAGTTCCCGAGGAATGTGGTTTCAATTTATCGTCATTGGACAAGATTCCGAGCTAAGTATAAGTAAGTTCCCGAGGAATGTGGTTTCAAACCAAAATCTTGTGTGCATTTTTTGTCTCGCCATCTGAGCTCAGTCCACCGTAAATAAAATTATGTCACTATACGTACAGTATCAGATGATTTTTATAGAACCCGAAGTTCATAGTTGTTCGATGTTCTTAATTTATAATTTGCTGCTTCCATGTTTGGAATCGTGATAGTTACGTATTTATGGTGAACATGTTTACTTGGAGTGTAACTCACCTCGCCGGGAAATGAGTACCCATGGATCCGATGCTCGGAGCCCTGGTGATTCTTTGTGCCATAATGTATGTATATCTCCTCGAACTGGTATCGATAGGTGAGCGGGCCCCCGGAAATGTTGACGTGGTGTTTCGTGTCCTTATCCACTCTGAACACGACGGTCTGTCCCGTGTTGTGCAGTGTTCCGCTAACCTGAAATAATCAGAGAAATGTCCTTGAACGTTATCGTCTCGAAACAAAAGACATTTAACTATGTCATAGTTTCTTTGGGGGAAAATGCATGCACGCTAGATATTTGTCAGTCTGTCTGTACGTCCAGAATTGCTAATGGGTGAAGGCAAACTTTGATATTCGGAGTATGCATTGAAACTTGGATGAATTTAATTTTTGGTGAATGTCTGCCTGATATAATCATCTACTTTACTTGTTGCGGAGATTTTCTTAATCCGTCATTTTCTTATCAGCGCTTATAGAATATTTATAAGTGCGATTTTGAGGTCGTGCGTAATGGTACAACCTCCACGACAGATTTTATCCAAATCCGTCCAGTGGTTCTCAAGTTGAATCCACTGGACAGACAGACAGACACTACCAGCCCATAATGCGTTCTCGCTATGCAAAAACCGCGAATGGAAAAACATACATTGAAAATAGAATGTGGATTATCGAATCTGTTAGAATGTTTAGTTTGGCAAGAATTTTGAAGGAGTAACGACAATGCACGAGATATTATCTGTAGAATCTGAAATTTGCAAGGTTAAAAGCATAATTAAATTGACAGTAATTTCTGAGACGTTCACTGTAGGACACTGTTAACTTATTTTCGATTATGAAATGCGCTAAAGTTATACTGCATCCTCATAATGTTATGATAAAAACAAAAATAGAATATTTAATACATTCGCCAAAATTGCAGTGTTATCTTATAGTGTAGTATTATGAAACACGCTGATCTCGTAATGAGATCGTACACCCAAGACTTTTACTGCAATGAGATAGCCAGGTGAATCATGAGACAAGATAAAATCACGATGAATATCAGGATATACGATAAAGAAACTCAGTAGAATTATGAAGCGCTCTAGAACTTGTAGCGTAATATCTAGATATTTATAATCAGAAAACAAATGACTTTTGAACCGTGCTAAAATCTTGGGATATCTTGAATATTTTACTCCAAAAGTAGCTACAGTCTTATTTTGATTTGATTTGAAAGCGATAATTAAGATAAAGAAAGAATGCGTGGTTTACTGTAATGATCAAAATGTTGCTTATGAAATGCGCTAATTCTGGCGTACGCCTACTGTGTCATTGTCCTGTATGTAAGGGATACTATGAGCCGTGGGATATTTTTATTTCACACGCCACCAACTTGTTTAGTTGTCATTCTGAACCACGCGGTAGTGCGGGTTATCAGTGTTTTGTTTCTGGTAGTTTTGACTTCAGTTGTCTTTCTTACGCCGGCGTACGAGCAGGTTTGAGCCTGTCCTTGAGTTGTCAACTTCGCTACTGAAACGTAAGTTGATTCTTGGCAGTTTATCACTAAAATTCCTCGTAGATGCATTTATTATGTGGAAACGTTTTCAGGATTATTGCAAGTTGAAAAAGACGTAGAATGTATTAATATATAAAGCATCGTAAAGCCCTCACTGTGACGTTCAAAGTCATTCAGTAACTTCATTTTTCAATCTAAGATAATTCTCTAGAGAAGGTTTAAAAATAACTGGTTGTGCTTCAGAGCGAGCCCTGTAATACTTAAAAGAGTTAAGTTAATTTCTGTGGACATAGAATGAATTTCTTTTGACGGAGCACGGATCTTAAAATGGCAATTCGTTGTAGTTGTAATAGGTGTTGTATTTATTGAATGGTAGAGATGTGTACTATATTTAGCTGCGTAATAACATTACATTTATTGTTTTCATGAGGAAAACAAAATAAAATGGTAAATAACTTTTCGTGAGATTTAAAGATGCTGTTTTAAAATGCACAAACGTTTATGCCCCATTGTAATAGCTCGAAACACGTAGAAAGTATTTACTTTTGTCTAGAAAATTCTAGAAATAATTTTATCTTCTTAAATTAAAGTGGTTGTTTTAATGTGTTAATACGCAAACTAATTTTGTTCTCACGTATTTTATGGCAGAATTAATATCACTGCACAGTTACTGTTTTGTCTACAGTGCCACAAAATGTTTATGAAACTGAGAGGATGCTTTAAACTATTTCTGAATATTTTTACGCGAATTAAATACGATATTTAATTAACACTGAGGAGCACGAACGTTCTCTGCCACTGATATTAAAATTAGTCCCTGTAGTTTATGTCTGTGTCGGGCGTCCATGAGATATCAGCAGAGATAATGATTGGGGAAGTGTTTATAGACAATTTGAGTGGGGAAAAAGTGAGTGATACAGATGAGATTGTGTTTGCACTCCGGAGCGAATTGGCGGATCTGACGAAATCCGGAAGAGGGTAACGAAGATGGAAAAACATAGTCCACTAAAGCAACAGACAGAAGGGCATTTGAACAGGAGCGTAAGTGGACGTAAGGGCTAAAAGAATTTTCTTTTTAGAACATCTCTTTCCTAAGCGTAGAGACAGACGCTTCTACTCGTTGAAATATTTCGTTGATGAAGATGTACTGTAAAAAGCCTTAAAGTGGCTGGTATGAATACAGAAGCTGTGATGATGTTGACGTGTTTATCCCAAGGTGAAATGACAATTGAGTCGTTGTTGGCGTACACAGTTGGTGTTATAAAAAGGTATGCGAAAACTTAAAAAAAACTGGCGTAATATCGCGCCTTCTGCTTACAAGAGATAACAGTAAATTCTAAACATTTTTTACGACGTAAAAGTGAAGAAGTACAGAATTGAGATTCGTCGCAAAACAATGGCGGTGAAAGATTTTGCACGTGGATTTTTTAATGTTTCTATTGAAGACACGTGGCAACTGAAACAAAGGGGAGTTCACCACGTGGACGCATTTGGATTTGAAGGGAGTTATCAGGGAGCTGCCAGATGTCTTTTGCAATGGATGGTGTACGGCCAACAGCGTAAAGACAAGAATATTAAACTCCTTTGGATTTTGTGGTATTCATTAGTGATCCGGATTCCATACGTGGCACGAAGTTATGCTGAGGAAAACTGTGAATGTTTTGGACATCATTTTACACTTTTCCACACTAAAGTATGGCCATGTATGGGATTTTTCATATGAGTCATAAATCCGTCAGATGTGAACCAGCGAATTTGTGTTCATCAGTGACATACAGTAGATTCCCGTTAATCGGGGCGGCCGCTTAATTGGGTCAAAGTGTTCTACTCCCGATGTGTCCCATTTAACCGGAATCCACTCTACTCTCCACTCCGAGATATGTTAAGGAATTGCCTAATTTTATGATTTTTTTAAGAGCCAGGCGTGACCTTATGGTCATTAACTTGTATTTAAGAATCTGAGTTTCCTTGTGAAAAACATTAGCTTATAAGTTATGCAATGGTCGCTGTGAAAATTTCGTCTTAAAAATTGGGCTTCAGGGGGTTAACGTTGTACGCTTTTTGTGAGGGCTGTACTGTGTTTTGTTATGATAAGACAACTTCGAGGAATTAGGCAGGATCTGATTACAATTAAATTATATATCAGCTAATTTTAATGCAGTCTTCTACATCAAAAATTAATATCCATTTAATATCGTGCTGTTTATTCAGTAAAGGAATTGTATTGTCTGTTACAGGCCCAGTATTCATCTGGAGTTCCTTCGGAAAACCACGCAGGACACCAGGATGTCTCATATCCCTTGGTGCTCCCGACAGGTAGAAGACGAATTTTGGTGATTTAATTCGAGCCGAAATAGTTCAAAGGCACAGACAAATACCGACGACTATTGCCAGTGATTTTTTTTTTGCGGGCCTGCTCACACGTTCATTTTTTTTTAAACGTAGGTTTTGTTAGTAGGCCGGTGATTTTTTTTTTGCGGGCTGTGAAATCGCGGACAGTTGCGTACCTGCTCACACGTTCATTTTTTTTAAACGTAGGTTTTGTTAGTATCGCGGTCGATTCCTTTGTGTTTGAGTGAGTGATCATTTTGCGGGTGAACGGAACTTTCATAAAACGGATTAGGCATTTTATAGAACTACACGCCGTAACGATCTGGATAGAAATTGCGGTGTACAGTGGCGTTGATCGTATTTTGAAGTGGCGACCGAAATATTATATCGCGGAATCCGTCGTGTGTTGCTTAAAGTGAAAAAGTACTGATGTCATAGTCTGCACTTAACTATAAAGAAATATCTTTTTTACCTCGAGTGTACAAACAGCTTAAACTACGTCGTTAAACACTTCTTGAAGATATAAAGGCCAGTGGGAGAGTAGAGAAGGAGCTCCACGCGTTCCTAACTCCATATTTGAAGCAAGTGATACTTAATGCGTCGAGAACCGGACCCCGGAGTCCGGAAGAAAATGTTTTGTAACGGCACTTATATTCTTAATGTTCTTGCTGGTATTTTGCAAATGAAACAAATGTCATGGCACAGCGAAGGATGTTTGAAGTGTTTCGGATAATTGCGTGCTCTCTGTTGTGAAAACTGTATTATTACCACTCGTTTAAAAGGTAAACACGAGATTTATTAATTTCTTAGCTTGAGTGGTGACATTATTCCGTGTTTCGTAAGCTGCAGTTGAACGTTACGCTTTTGTGAACATACAAAAAAATGTTATAGACGGAAACAGTGCCGTGCAGTTAATGATGAAAGTTTTGTAAAATGACGCCGAATTCTTCGGGTAAGAAAAGTTTTGCTTTCGGGCGAACATTCACAGAATTCCGCCAGTCCGATGTTTGTTTGATAGAAATTGACTTCATCTGTGTTTAAAAAGATTCGCATTTTGTGATCGTCCTGGTAAATGTCACGAACCAAGAGACGAAGAACTCGACACGTGCTTCCGGAGTGCTTGGACAACGTTCCAGTGAAAGCACCGGATTCCATTTGACACTGGATTTCGAGTCTGAAATCTTGAATGCGATAACAACAGAGACCGGAAGACGGTAAGTAAGACTGAATATTTCTAAAATACGATTTACAATTAATGTTAGGAATTGGTGTTTTGCTCGCAGAGCCGTGTATATCCTGAAGTTATCAAAATGTATCTTATTTTAAGTTAGCTGGGTTTAAATTCCTGCGTCAGTGATTCAGCATTATAATTTCTGTTCTTCAGTCGGTATAATCAAAGCATTTCTGATTAAGAACGTATTTTACAGACTAGATTATTGAAGTTTTAAAACGAAACTACACGTTTAACTTCAAACTCTAACTAAAATGACTTAAATTAATAAATTTTATTTCACGAAGCGTGAGAAAATTAACACCTACTTATTTCACAAATATCTTATAATCCTTTGTAATTTAAAAATTATGTTTTTCGCTATTACAGATGAAATGAGATACTTAATTAAATTGTATGTAATGAAAAAATGGTTCCTGGTTACGTAACTTGACGTCATATACTTTTCACTTGAAAGTTTTGTTGTTAGTGTTTTGGACAACACGTCTGTCGAAATAATTAATTTTCGTTTGAATTTAAAATGTATAAATTTCAGTATTATGAGGTTATGTAATACTCGTCTACAAACTTTTCCACAAGTCTGTACGTAGCAAGCATCGCTTGGATCTTAGCGCCGATCTGTCCGTTATGGTCCGCGGGCTAATTTCATGGACGGCAATCAAAAAATTGCGTCCTGTATCCTTAATTGTTTAGGAATAATTTTATTTCTTTCTTTCGTAAATTCAAATTAATTCGAATATTTCTGTTCGGTTTGAAATTTTATCCTCAAAGTCGTATTCGCAGGTAATTTACTGCTCTATCCGAGATCTGCCACAGATTGGAACTTGTATAAATTACGAATGGCTCTCGGCCACTGAAATCGGACGAGGAAAATATTATTAAATTTGAATCAGTGCACAGATTTATGGGACGGAATTAAACATTAACATCTCTTTCATTATGGAATAATGCTACGAACTTAGAACCAGTCCTGTTTGGGATAAAAATAGTCTATACACTCACACATTGCTTTTCAAATTCTTTGTAGAAATGCCATGTCTTTCATGTGTAATAGAAAATTAATTTTTTGGGGGACTCTGACTGCATATATAAAAATAGTTGTGTTAAATAATTCTGCTGTGGTATGCCTCGTCTCAGAGACCTGAACATTTTTACATCGATTATTTTATTTTGAGAGTCTTTATCAAGTGCTGACGTGATATGCTGTTGGGTAATATGAATGAGTCAAATCCCAATATATTCTCGAAGCCTCAGTCGCTCCATCATTTTATCAGCTTCCTCTCCCTTTCAACCCTCAGCTTTTGCTCCGAAAAACGTCAGTCCTGGTCGACGAAGACGTATTCGACGTTTAGGTTAGCGATAAACATTTGATTACTTTAGACTGGAATAAATTACGCGAGGCTAATTAGGTTAACGTATTACTCTGTGTTGTTTAGTTTACGAAATGTCAATGCAGAGGGCGTACCCATGGCCTCTGTAACTTGTGACGTCACGCAACAGAAGACTTTGTGAGGTTTAGGCGTGGTTTGCGGGACAGTGAAGGGAGTTAAGTCTTTAGAGGGACTGAGAAAATCACGAACTCCCAAATTCGGAAGTTGACAAGTGTGTTGTTGTAAGACTTGAGGTTCTCACAGCGGTGAGTATGAAGATTTCCGTCTTCTGGGTTGTTGCGCTGTGTAGTCTGGTCAATGTTAACCAACGTTTCAGAGGTCATACTGCCTCCGTCATCAGAGTATGAAGATTTCTGTCTTCTGGGTTGTTGCGCTGTGTAGTCTGGTCGATGTTTACCAACGTTTCAGAGGTCATACCGCCTCCGTCATCAGGGCGATGAATCGCCCTGATGACGGAGGCAGCGCAACAACCCAGAAGACGGATATCTTCAAGGGTGTTTTTATACGTATGTAATTAATTACCTTCTTTTGTGCACCGAGTTGTACGATGAAGCTTGTATTTCGCTTAGTATTGTATTTTTAATTACACACCTGATACTGAAAGAACATTTGCAAGACTCTTGTGGCTACGTCTTGAGTTTGGAGAGCTGATGTGTCAGGCGTCTAGATATTTCTCATGTATTTTTCGTAACTTTGATGAATTCAGTGTGTTATTAGGGCAGTATTCTTTAGAGATGTCAGTATTTTTCATCTGTTTGTGAGATATGAGGATCTAACGGCAATGGAAATGTTTATATTGTTCTTCTAGGTTTTAACGCCGTGTGGACGTAAGGATTTAGGTCTGAAGATTAAGGCACTGTGTCCTTCCACGTGGTGTTTTTACCCAAAAGACCAATATCGATTTCTCATCTTTCGTTGTCATGTGATAACTACCAGTTCACCCGAAGACTATTGATTGAAAAGGTCATGGCACACCCATAATTGTAGAAATAATCATGTTTTGTTGAAGGCAGTAGAATTGGAGGAATATAAGCTTTGTTCCTATAAAATCTGCAAGTTTTTGCGTTTGCCTTCATTTGATAAATATTCGATGGACATCGCTATAAGATCCTCTAGATACTGATGGATAAGAGTGACCAGAAGGTTATATTAATATTGTAATGACGACTAATAGATTTTGTAGATGAATGTTAAGCATTTGACCTTCTAAAGCTTAGTGGTAACTGTACGTGCTACTAACTGGTGCATCCAGTGTTTCGCGCAAGAGCGCGTGTGTGGGTTCTGTACGATTCTCAGAACAAACTTCGATTATTCTCTAACAGCATTAAGCAATTGATCTTTGTAATGGAGAGGCGTTGTGTTTTCTTTGCGGTAAGGACTAAGTTTTTAATTGCTGTTCAGATGAGCTTCTGGCTTCAGGGGGTTAAAGTAAGGAATTGTATAATGTGGCTGGGGGAGTAGATTATTTTCCTTGTGACGTAGTCACGAGGAACGTACAAGGAAGGAGGGGGGCGAGACACCTTATAGAACTTTCATTTACAGCGAAGATTATACTGAGAAGGAAGATCTGCTATGTCCATTTGCATAAACTAAAATACTCTTACACACTCGCCATTGGGTAAAATAGTGTATAGCTATGCATGTAGACCTATTTTACCCTTTGGTGGGGGGGGGGGTTATTTTTTCTAGGCCACTGTAACCTTTAGTTTCTCGTAGTGCATACAAAAACTATCACAATTTCTGAGTTGCTTTTATTATTAAGTTTCATAAGCAAGAATCCGTAGCTACATCTAGAACACAGCTTACATTTAAATATATATATATAATAATAAATATATGAGTAAAAGAGCCCAGAGCTTCAGTGGTTATTTGCTAGCCTCGTGCAGGATACCAGGATTAATGAGTTGGAAAATATAATTACTTGTCGTACTCGTCCCTTATGTCCGTCTTGCTTCTCCGTCCCGTGGACTACTCAGTATATCCCGGGCTGCATGAGTCAATGTGTCTACCATCCAAGTGGCCTCCAACCTTGAAGTTTTCTGTCTGAAGTTTCTAACTACTTTCTTTTGTTAGGTTAAACCCGTATGACTCACCGAATTTCGTAGGTTCTTATATGGAGCGCAGAAAGATATAAGATTCTGATGTAATATCAAATATTTCCTGAACTGAATCTGATTTTAATTTACTCAGGATTTTTATTTAGGTTCTTTCCATAATGCATTTTAAAGCGAAATAAATATGGAGACATGCCTTGTTCTGTCACGTTTATCTCGACCAGTCTCCTTTTAAGACTTACGTAGTGTGTTCGCTATGGCATTTTGATTCCTCATAATGACAAATAGCTTATTTTATATTTTTAAATATTTTAATTTGTGGTCTTGCAGAGAAAAAAGTAGTGTTGGCCAAAAGATTCGGAAATACATGATAGAAAAAATTGCACTAATGTAATCTGATCATATTTGTTCACGAGGATAATTTTGATTTCTTGTTGTTCAGAAGATACTTACGCAAACTTTTATACGATGTTAAATGGTCCATGAAACGAAGTTCGTTTTAAGGACATAGGCGTGTTATCTCCCTGGACAACTCGCATCTGAAGTTTTATGTGTTGGCTATTAACATAGCATTATCATAACTTTGTGCTTGGAACATGTGATAGATTACATACCGTTACCGCCACGTGAGTGATTGGGGATCTTTCTAAATTCATGGCAGTGCAGTGATCAATAAAGCAGGAAAAAAAATCCCCCATTGATGCATCAATGAGCGAAGCATGGATACCGCCAATATGTCACCGCTGACATGACGTAATGCATCAAGGCTTCGCGCCTTTTTTTTGGCAGAACTTTATAACTAAGCGACCGCGAAAATGATGATGGCATACATACATATATCGATGTCGTGACTTGCAAACGGGCGGGGTGAGCAACTGAAGAGAGAACGCATGTGTGAATTAATTCGTGTATCCGGTAGTTTTTGACAGCTTGGGATGCCTGCGGTGATTGAGTGGGTGATGGATGGGTCTGCTGTACTCGATAATAAATATACGAGGGGCGAAAACACCCCGAGGACGTCGAAGGAGCGTCAGTACCTATCAGTACGAGAGACGCGTATTTCGAGTGTTCTGTTGTGTTAAGAATGTGTTAAGTTTAACCCTTTGAAGCCGAAGCTCGTCTTCATAATATTTACGAATTCCGTCCGTACCGCGAAGAAACCACTACACCTCACCATTACGAAAAGCAGCTGGTTAACCCTTTGAAGCCGAAGCTCGTCTTCATAATATTTACGAATTCCGTCCGTACCGCGAAGAAAACACTTCACTTAACCATTAGAAGTCGAATCAGGCGGTACCACATAAGATTTAACATCCCGGTCAAAGCCTTATCGTCATGTCCCTTGTACTCCACCGTTGTATTTGACTCAAGCATGTGAGAAAATGAATCTTTTACCCTTTGTTTGTTTGTTTGTTTGTTTGTTTAGTAGCCTGAATATTTTGCACTGTAACATGACATTGCCTCTCAGAGATAAGAATTTAGGTAATGTGGCAGGAATTATATCGGAACGTTGATAGACGCTACCCGTGTTTCGAGTATTACGACAGGTCATGCATAATCAACCTGAAATCACCTCCATTCTTCATGGTTCCTTCCATTGTTCTTCTGATATCTTACCCTGGATGTCTTGTGCGTCGTATGGAGCGCCATAGACTTTTGTTTTCTGTAGTTTGTTTCGTGACTTACCTTCAACGCCCTCCATACTCCGTAATAGCGTACGACTTTTGGCTTTAATGTAGGTCTTTACCAGAAAATTTTACCCCAATAAGAGCCTGTTTCAAATATGTAACATTAATTACCATAGGGATGGAATCATTAAAAGAAATGTGGGAGTCTTAATCAGTTTCACGAACTCGTGTCTTTTATGTAAATTATTTTCTGACTGTGTGGTAAGGATGCTGCATAAGTAGGCAACACGCGGATGAAGTATAAGACGGATAAAGATAAGGAGAAACTTTCTTCGCCACAATTCGTCCATTATTTTTCGTGTTTTCACACTTTCCCTTGTTCACGGTTTGTTCATTGGCGCTGTCAGAAACTCAGATCACGTTGCGTTGATTGGTTAATGAGTAGTGAATTGAAAATAATGAATGAAGCGGTCGTGGCCTAATTTAAAGCAATATTCGAGATAACCTGCCTTCGGAACGTGATTTGAAGCATGGATATCCTAAGCACAAAGCAGGAGACGCGATATTCGGTGTCTTTGTTATTCATCCTTTGCTGTTATACGAGGTTCTCGCAGATCTAATCATCCTTTCTGGGAAGTTTAGTTTGTGGTCTGTTCCCTAGCAACTGAAGGAACCCCCCCCCCCCCCCCACACACACACCTTATTCTTTGATATCATCTTTCACGAAACCGAACATCCACGCTCATTTCCGTCGACTGTGAAAGAGTAAGGGGTCGAGTTTATTCCACTTTATTTCATTTTACGAATCCGATTTTATGCGTCGATTTCTGGGAGAACACGAAGATCAGAGGCTCTAGACCTTTCCAAACGTTCTTCTCGAGGCCCTTGTCTCTCTTATTGTCTTTACAGTTTAAGGCTTAAAATATGATTTAACCCATTTCAAGTGACCATATTTATTTACCCCGAAATCTCCACACCACAGCCACAGGGGACAGAAACCGATTTCAAATCTCGGTCCGGGCACCGCTTAACCTGACGTGTTTCCTCTGTTTGGGTATACTTAAATAGTCGTAAATCGTATACAGGTATACCTCGGAGATATTGCGGGTTCGGTTCCAGACCACCGCAATAAAGCGAGTCACACGAATTTTTTGGTTTCCCAGTGCATATAAAAGTTATGTTTACACTATTAAGTGTGCAATAGCATTAGGTCTAAAGAAACATTGCGAGAATTACCAAAATGTGACACAGAGACACGAAGTGAGCACGTGCTGTTGGAAAAATGGCGCCGATGGACTTGCTCGACGCAGGGTTGACACAAACCTTCAATTTGTAAAAAAAAAGGCAATATCTGCGAAGCGCAATAAAACGAGGTATACATGTACATCTATTGCTGTTTTCCAAATAATTCTCGTAGGCACCATGCCGTTCGACGTTTCGTAGTTTACACCGTTGAAACAGCGTCGTTAAATAACTTAAGAATCAATAAATGAATTCCCAAGCGTTGGGAGTGTCGTTAGTTAAGAATCCGATGCTACAGCTCAAAATACCAAAAAAATATTCCTCGCAAAGTGATGAAGCTGAGTTCGTAGGGCAGACGTAAGGATGTGAGGAGAGAGAAAGAATGGAGAGTGCGGAAGAGAGACAGACAGACAGTCGATAGTCTCTGTCGAACAATTAATATGCCTCATAAAAGGCTTCTCGTGCATTACTAATTATAAGTACAGGGAAAGGGAGGATTGGAGACTGTAAAGGAGGCTGAGGGGACGTGGGGTGGACAGCCATCACCCTCTGGAATTTTAATTAATGGTTTTAAATGTTACAGAATATGCAGGACAAAGGCCTAGTTAAAAATATAACGTAAAACTCTGAACTCGATACATCGCAGAGAAATGTAATCAACTTCAACAGTCGGTTCTCCTAATGCACTTCTGTAGGATAGCGCATAAAATTATATATATATTTATATAATCCTACAGAAGTGCATTTGCGGAACCGACTGTTGAAGTTGATTACATATATGTACACTTTATTAATACATATATACGATAATTTATGAGTAAAACAGGATTGGTATAAGTCGTCTACCTTATTTCAGGACAGGAAATTCTGGGAAGAATTTATGGCTCGTGTAATTCATAATTGTTCAGTCTATAGGAATATGGCAAGGCAAACAAGAACCATTAGTTAATAATTATGTAAATTAATGTGCATTTATGTGCGTAATTGTTACTAGTATTAATTATGATCTCTTTAAATGTGAGATTAACCTCAAACTCATTAGATGATATGATATGATGTGAGATGATAAAATTGCGTCATATTGTGATAAATATATATTTTTTTAAATCTTGTCAGTCAAATCACAATAAAATTCTTATTAAATATTAAAATATTACTAAAATTAACATTTAAATATTTAAACTCATTATTTTATCGCATGTTGGTAACTTTAACATGCAGACTAATAGAGTGTTGTATACGTTTGTGTACATAAATTATTTGTAGATATGTTTATGGTGTATCTTCATACAAAATTTTACGTCTCTGACTCCTCTAGTGGTGTGTTAGCTATTGTTATCACACCGAAGGCAAAATACAGATTTTTATGGGCTCCGTATTATTTTAATTACGTTGTACTAAATAAATTGCGTTGAGAGAATTTGCTTAACAGAATCATACAGGTAGGATACTGAAGCTGCTTACTCGAAAGATAGTATGAAATTTCAAATTTCTGAATAACGTCAAACTGAGACTTGGGGTTGGATGTGTAATTACTTACTACTGATTATTCCCCGAATTATTTATTCTTTAATGGACATAAGTGGTTCTAAGTAGCATCTGCTGTGATGGTTAAAATTTCGTTTCAATTAAAAAAATAAAATAATCAACTATTCTTTTCCTAAACATGTTAGGACTGATATATATTTTTAAAGGAGTTGCATTGTGTTTTCTTTAGGTCAGAATAATATAAGAATTCGCTTGTGTGTCGTAAATTTCAGGAAACTAATAACAACACTTTTAGGGGAAGTTCTCACAAAATAGTGGTATTGATTTTTAAAAACTTTATACAAATCTGATTGCGCTGTTCAAACTAGAACGTTAAACCTGAAGTACCACTTTTATTAAATAAGTGCATGAAATATGGACCAAGCCTTGAAGCAGCAACCAATCATCGGTTGCAAACTTTGGACCTTGCACCAGCGAATTTAACATTGAAATTTCGATGGCCATTCAAGCATATCATAATCATGTACCACACATCATTCCATAAAATATAACCATTGCAGCTGATTCAATGTTATGAAATAACATATTAAATATGTATAGTTAGTTCAGCTGAATTTTGTTCCTATTTTGGACACCCGTGGTTTGACTCTGGAATCAAAGTAGTGAACTTCCTCTAGGCCTCGAATCGGAAGATGTCCAGTTCGAATCTGGATCGGGTTACCGAATATACTGATTTATTTCCGTGGTTTACGTCAGTATTTCAATATTACTGCTAGGATAATGTCGATTAATTCGATAACTAAACCATGGTCACCTCTTAGATAATTATCACCTCTTGATATGATTTTACGCTGTGTATTTAGTGTTGAAATTGCGTCGGTAAATAACCTGCGGATGGAACAAGTTTCGGTCAGCGGAAAGGCTGTTTTGAGGAATTTGTAGATAAATGTTCGCTCATGAAACGCGGGTTTCTCATTTGTGTAGTTATTCCAAACCGCTGTGTTTGGTTTCATGTAATTTCTCTCTTTAATAATGTGTGGCCTCCACACGGGAATGATTCGGTGGCTTCCAGAGTAAGGGATTCGTATGGCTCTAATGATATCCGAAAACAGTTCTCCAGCTTCCAGATTATTATTTAGGTACACCGTTTTGTGATTATAATTCTGTAAGACATACAGTTTGTTTCGTTATTATAGACCAGATTAATTCTCCCTCCTCCCCCGAAGCGCATTCATGGCGTATAGCGGGACAGCTGAACTTTACTTTACTTGGTGCAATTGGACGGGAAACTTGATGGGTTATAAACCCTCACCTTGTGTTTGTCGAGATGCACTGGCCTTAGGTGAGGGTCGTACAATAGTTTGTCAGGCTCCACGTTAATTGGCGACTGTCGGCGTCCCTTAGTACAGAGACGCCACTGCGGATTGATGAGACCCCAGAATCCAGGACCTGCAACACAAGATTTTGTTACCACTCGTCTGAGTGTTGCATTCGACTAGATGCCAGATGTTAGTGTGTAATCGGCTTCATGTTCTGGCCGTTAACTATTCAAAAAACATTGCTCTGACTGAAAAAAATGTTCATGGTTATAATACAGAGGGTTCATTTGTGGTTCTTAACCGCTTTGGTACTGTTAGCTCTTCAGCTTAACCAAGGAACCAAAATGTCCCCTCCTTCTCCTTTTGTAAAATAAAAGTTATGAACCGATGTTCATTTTTCTGTTATAAAAATTACGTATCCAACCGGTCCATTATCTTACTGATATATTCCTAATTACTTCTCCAGGGATAATTGCCCTGAATTTAAGAACCAGTGAGAATAAATATCTTTAAGTTTTAATACTTACACATAGTTAATAGATTTAGGATTAAACGATATGTATAAATATGTTTTAATTTCAAGTAATGAATATACTTAAAGTAAATGGCGTAGTAATAAAGGTGGATAATTATAAACATCAAATAGAATATTTTTTGGGTAGGGTAGGTTTGTAAGAAGTTGTCGCGACCAATAAATGCCATAAACCATTAACCCCCCCCCCCCCACAATATACGAAATGTGGTTGGTGTGCCGCGAGTGTAGAAATGTTGCCCAACACTGATTTATGGGGAAAGAATGGCGTAGGTAATATTGAAAAAAATTAATTTTGGTTTCATATGAAACAAGTAACTGCGTCGAATGAGTGTAAATAAAAAACAAAAGGGACTGAATAATAATATGAGTCGCCATTTTGGTTACATACAGTCAACGAAAACTGTTAAAAAATGGAAAAATAATCAGTCCAGTCAGTGCCCTTGCTGAGGATCGAATCCGGTGACTACGGAATAAATCACACACTCGTTCACGTGAGCTGATCTCATCGGTTGCTCTTACGACTATAGACTACATTTTAATATTATACTTCGTCGTGATAAACCTTTTCAAAAATCTGGGCAAGAATTAGGTACAGTGACCTATCGATTTCTCAACGCGCCATGACCAAAATTCAATTATACGACTACGTAAGACATTTTCAGAATGCCTTAATGTCAATACGAATACTTCATTTCACATTCGTAAGCCGAGGTCGTTGTATGTTTGATCTGTTCTTCCACGGAGCTCACACAGAGTTCGTGTGCCCGAGATTGGAAAATTGTACTTTATAAGAAGCGACCCCAGGCTACAAGAAACGATGAAGATACATGCAGTTTCCTGTCGGTCTTGACACACGAATTCTAATACGATGGAAGGCGAACCTTGATCTTCAAAATGCAAAGCATCGTCTGTGTTTGAAGAAGGCAAATCTGAATAAGAAAAAGTCGAGAAACCACATGCGTGCTTCTTATTCTCAGATGTGAATAAAGAAATAAATATTACGAAACCCAAAAACTTTTAAAGTAAATGACGTTTCAGAGCCTTTACAGACGATGTGAAGAAATGGTTTTTATACTGGACATGACGAAGGAACGGTGAAGAAAGTCGAAATTGAAATTATGTTGCTGAGAAACCGTGGAGTGTGAACACCCACTGTTTATCGTATGTCCAGACTAGACTAGACTATGCTAGACTTTGATCCTCTGACGTAAAATTCTTTCCATATGTACCTAATTTCAGACTGCCATCTTCAGGAGTATGTTCTTGCGTTGAAGCTTAAAGTTGGCAATAAAAAAAGTGTGTTCCTGCTAGCGTGAACCTGTGAATTTTGAGACAGTGTCTTCTAAGAAAGTTACCTTCACCTTTTTAATAATATCTAGTTGTTTCTTTCCACGAGGTGAAGGCATGTAAACTCTATATCTTATGAAGATTTCTGTCTTCTGGGTTGTTGCGCTGTGTAGTCTGGTCGATGTTAACCAACGTTTCGGAGGTCATACTGCCTCCGTCATCAGGGCGATAT